CAAGTTAAGCCTATATACGCGTCTTTACACTTTACTACCGGATCAGACCACATTGATACTTCCACAATAAAATCGGTTCCAACCACCATGCTGCGTTATTCACCACCCCCTGCTAATTTCCACACAGTGTATACGCAATACGTTTTTCTTCTACTTTAAATTCATGTTCGTCGATCGTAGAACGGTGAGTTTACGTTTCAGCTGACCTCAAGGTCTCGGCCGCAAACTCTGCGGCAATCAGACGCCAGTGTGAAATACGGCGGCACACGCAAAGTTCGTTTTGGCGAGTCGCTCGTGTTTATAGCCAGCCTTTTCTATACATATCTGTCTGGATTATGTAGTGATGTAAAGAGATGTAAAGGTGTCACAAATCTTCGATGAGTTACTAGTTTTCTATCATAATTTTAAAGACACTCGAAATCTTATGATTGCTTGATTTAGTTAAGTGGGAGTCATACACCACATTTGTGGGTACATAGCCGTCCATGCACGGATGAAAATATTCTTTGCTGCTACACTTTCATGTGACTAACAAATTGCATCGCCAGGAGTTCTGTCACTTACATTGTGCGACACATCTCCTCGTAATTACGTCGTCATACAATACAGGTCGTACACTACATTCATTTCTCGCCAAAATATTCAGTAAAATTCTCAGTGAAGTACTCAGTGAAGATACTGAGTAAAGTACTCTCACGAGTAACGGGCCCGCTGTAAAACTTCTATGACTTCATATCATAATAATCACACGTACGTACGTAGTTGCTAAGTGTTAGTGTACTTTCACCACACCCTGCTCATTTGCACACAGTGTATACGCAATACGTTTTTCTTCCACTTTATATTTATGTTCGTCGTAGAACGGTTAGTTTACGTTTCAGCTGACTTCAACGTCTCGGCGGCAAACTTTTTCCAAACATTAAATCATAATACAGTTTTGTAATACAGTTGAGAATAGCTTTGTGCTCATACACTGATGCAGGCTTTTTCTATGCGACGCAACGTCCCAACAACGTCGTCTTACGTCACAGGCCGTTTTCCCGCCAGGGGGCCGGTTTCACAGAAGATTTCATTTTCATCATTCATACACCCAACATAAACATGTCTTTCGAATATGACAGAGGCAACTACAAAATAGACCAATGCTTTCCTTATTTACGTTTTGATACTACCATAAAATCCTTGTAGAAATTCGACAGTTTATAGATATTGCTAAACGACATCTTTAACTAATAACTTAACAAACCATTCATCTTTCCATTCATCAGTCCACACATGTATATCTTCCATTTCATATATAAATATAACATCATATATTAGGATGCATTTCTAACAGCACATGGGCATAGGCCTTCAGCCGTTGCTTAATGGTCGCTACATTTTGCGTTCCTTAATGAAACTACTGTACATAATGTGCAACGATGCGTCGTGCAGTTGCGATAAATGTATAATTCCATTTCTTTTCTCCTTTGGCATCAGCAATTTGCATGTCGATGCGAAACGTTAGTTGCAATGCAGAAACGCAAGAGAATCTACAGATGCGGCTTGTGTGGGGAGAGGGGCCACAGCAGAAGGTCTTGTCGGAACTGTTGTCTCCAGTGTAGACAAGCTCATGACGATTGCAACTGCGCATTGCGACAGGTCCAGAAGCGATTGGTAGTTTCAGTCATAGCAGTCACACACTGATGACAATATCGCTGCCGCAACTGTGTGCATGTAAGTTTTACATTACATGTCTAGTTACGCCTACCCCCACCCCTGTCCCTCGCGTAGCAGAGGATAGTGGAATGTCAGTATGTGTGTTTCTGTGCGGCCGGTTGTTATGTGACAGCACAGCAGAGCACAGCAGCGCAAAGGAAAGTAAAGTCAACTAAAGTAAAACAAAGTAGAGTCGAGTAGAGTATAGTATAGTATAGTATAGTATAGTATAGTATAGTATAGTATAGTATAGTATAGTATAGNTATATATATATATAGATATATACTCCACCCCTCAGACTTAATCGGCGAGCGTCATGACTCATGCCTCACCAGAGATAAGCAACTCTTCGGTAATCCGTCACTGTCAGGAACCTCATGTTTTTAGCCATGGCGCTTTTCGTTCGTCTCATATTGCCGGGGATGGTCCAGGTTAGAGCCTAGAGCTTCTGCCGAAGTGCACGGTTTCTTCCCTTCCCCTCGTGGCGCGCGCGTGCGCGTGGAGGGGTACACTCGTCGCTTGCCGAGACGAGTAAGTCAATACTAATATATCGGAGCTTAAAGCCGACGTCGCGATGTTATCACGGCGCTGCCGGTGTGTCCACGGACTAACTCGGGCATGGCGACGTCACACCTTCCCCTCCCGGGCTCCACAGTTATATGCAACCTCGACGCAGTCGTGCTTAACGGACTCATACATATACTGGTCTCCCCTGTCACAAAACTACGTTCGCTAAAAGTTATGTATTCCGTATTGTTTAGCGTGTTTTTGTATTGTATTTTCTTTGTCGTCACAGCGGCGAAGCACGCGTAAAGATACTTCCCTCGAGCCACCAGTGTTCAGCGTTACCGAGTAGCTTCCCTCCCCCCTCCTCCCTAAAGGCACGCTATCTCTTGTTCTAAGCCGTCTCCTTGTCGAACTGACGTCACGTCTCTCTCGCAATCTATTTGCCGTGATTCATTCGAGGGGATTTGCCGCTCCGACAATGGCCGCACGCCGCCCGGACGACGCTACGTATTTGCGAGTCGCCAGACATTCACTGGAAAGCCTTCTAACAACGCCGCAGACGATCGGCGACGGAGACAAATGTGGACTAGAAAGCGACGGCTGCTTCTTCCTACGATAATTCACGCGCGCTAACGCAACGCCGCAATGGAGCCAACTCGAACTCGATCGTAGAAAAAGACGAGAAAGAGATGTATACACCATATAACACGTGTGCGCGCGCGCGTGTGTGTGCGTGCGTGTTATATGTAAGTCGAGCCGACTTGTCGGAATAAACTCCACCTAACGATGGCGTCACCAGATACACTCGACAAGAGCGCATTTATTTCCCGCATGGCAGCAATAGCACGTAGCTATATAGCACATAATAGCCTAACAGCACAAACGCGTTTTGGCATAATGCTTGTATCGTTGGGTGTATTTAGCGCTCGTGACTGGCTCTATATGCAGACGTCAAGAATTTACTGGATCCTTCGTTTACCGGATAGCAGATCATTGGGAGTTAGTCGTTTTTGCGGGGGAGGGAGTGACGGAACAATGCTCTCTTTATTCACGCCAGTTTTGCTGCTAAACATGACAGCATTTATTCGACAATTTTCGAAGCGCTGCAAAAGCTATTGCTGTTACAAGAGTTAAAAGGGATGGAAATTGAACATAAAGACCTCATGCTTATACGAACATGTCGATTATGCGCATTAGCCCGCTGCAAGCATCTACCCATTTCGAAATGCGACTCTGTGTAAATATACCCGAGCTGGCGAATTGAAAGAGCTCGCGTATTCACAGTAATAGTCGTGCGGGGGTTTACCGGGATGCTGGAACGCACGCTTAATGGCATGCCATTTGAAAGCACGGGAGAGCAAGAGCCGTTGCTAGGCATGCGGTCTGAGCACCTCCGCCCGGTATCGCCCCGGCAGCTACTCGTCACCTGAGGACAATATATACAGCGAAGTGAAACGTGACCGTGTTTTCTACGCATGAACATGGCGCCATGGCACGTGATCACGTATAACCAATCCGTTTCACTTCTCTGTATATATTGTTCTCAGCTCGTCACCGGTGCCATTCAGCAGATAATGTACCTACACTGTTAACCACCTTACCACTGTTATAGATGTCATCCTAATGCTATTACTATTAGCCGGCTTTATGAGCACAACCAGATACAAACTTCTACTTCTACTTCTACTTCTACTTCTACTTCTACTTCTACTTCTACTTCTACTTCTACTTCTAATGCTATACTAGACAGTCCGTAAGGAATAAACGTCCAGGGAGTGCGCGAAAACTCCAGGTGCACGTGAGAGATTTGCATGGAATATTTTTTAAATGTAGACAGTAATGTGTTCCAGAGATCGAGGCTTCTCTGGGCCAGGCACTCAGTACTGATGCGACTAGTATACGGCAATAAAACCTTGCGTAACTATCACCGTAATTGCCTATAAACGACGATGTAATTGCCAATTCGGTTGGCGGCATAGACGCCCAAGTGGCAACGTCGGATCGGCATCTCGCACCCGCCTCACGTTCGTGGGGTGTCATTGCGCACAAAACAACGCCAACCGACTATATGCACGCCGGGTGCGTGATTAGGGTTAGGGTTAGTGTCGCAATTGTAACATAAAACAGAAGTTTGAGGCACGTGATTTGTATCAACTAATGGCAGCGCTCACTAGAGCCCTATGTTATTGATTATCCTAGGAAAAAAATCACGCCCCTCCGCGTGGCCCCCGCCGGAATCGGAGCCGCTCGCGTATTGATCACGTGTCGCCCCACGCGAGATTCGATGTTGCCATCGGTCGTAATGCGAGTCCACAATTGCCGCAAACAACAGCAGCTGCCATTGCTTGTGTCTGTCATTAATGCAGCTGCAGAATTGCCAGAACAACAGCAGCAGCCATTGGCTGTTATTGCGGAGCATGTTGTTCTTGGTCATATAAACAATCATGTAGGGGGCCACATACAACAGCCTGTTGCAGAGGTCATATACGTCATTGCTGCTTGTAGTGTTTGCCATCGTTGCAGAACAGCATCACACACAGTCACGTTGATGCCACTTCGCTTCATGAGGCATATGCCATCGCTTCAGCCGCGTCACTTTGGCGATAAAACAGGCATGGTTCTAGGACGTTCGGCATGTACTCTGTGTACGTTGTATGTGTGTCGACCTGTACACCCAGTGAAAAGCAAAGGCCTCTTGAAGTATGCCTGCCTGCTGTCGTCTGCACTTGTTTGACAAAACATGAGTATGCTGATGTAACAGCTTTATGTCATTTCTGCCTTCAGAAATTCGCAGCAGCTGCATTAATTGTGTTGATCAGTGGTTGCCAGCCATGTAAGAACACAAAGATAGGCAGCCAAACTTTCGTGATGTTACGACCATACTGCAAGCATTTGTCGATGACACTGCGAGTGGTCAGCTGTCACGGTTGGTCGCGTCACTGGACAGAACATGCTACCCAGAAGTCACAGATCGAGAGAGACGGACAGAGAGAGCGAGAGACAGCAATAGATAGCGGCCGAGATAGAGAGGGATACAAAGAGAGAGAGACAGAGCCAGCAAGAGAGAGAGGGAGGGACAGAAAGGGATAGACACCGCGCGCACGGGCACGCATGCTATTCTTCCTAAAATTCTCGACTGCTCGCTGGCAGCTATGGATCCGTGCGCCGGCCTACGCACTCGGCGCACGGATCCATAGCTGCCAGCGCTGCATACTGTCGTAGGACGTTCCCGCGGTCGCGTGCGCCTTGCGCGGAACTGCGCGCAAGATCTGCCGCTTCAGCGCTTGGGACAACATCTCCTTTCGCAACGCTTCTCTAGGTATCCCGTCTCATCTGGTTTACCGACTTGGAAATTTTGGCCAGCAAGTTACCATTTTTGATTTATTGCCATTTGGTCTGACAAGCAAGTAGCTCCAAGAAACGGTATTGCTATGGTTAGAATACTGTATATTGACGTTAGTCACATAGCCTGGTCGGGTTAACAAGCAAGATGTTCAGTGTAGGCCTACATTACCAAAATTGTTTAGGGGGTCATGTTATTTAGATGCTAGAGATCTTATTGATTGTGCCGAGGTGTTTATTGAGCGCACGTACTGCATGGCAACCTAACTGGTCGTGCCTAGACATGGTCAAATTACAAGCACAATAACACTCAAAATCTTTGTGGGTATATCCCCAAACTGGGTCGGTGATTTTTATGTCACGTGTATGTGGTGGTCAAACATCCGACAATGTAATAAATCACAGAATTATGATTTCGGATCTTATTGAGTATCGTGACTTAGTGTCAGCTAACGGGGAGTTTCTTATAAGTGAGGATTCAGCAGCAAGAACAGCATTTACTCGCGGCCATGCAGAAACAGTCGAGTCAGAGAGACGTCGAAAAAACGAGAAAGCTTGCTGGCGTCTGTATCCACGTTGGACATGCGATTGAGCGAATCAAACATGTCAAAGTCCTCAGCACCATCATTTCAATGAATATGTTTCCCCATGCTGACAACATCATCACTATTTGCTCTGCCCACTGTTAATTTGCATCCTCGACTTGTCGATGTTAAATAAAGAGAGAGATAGATAGATAGATAGAGAGAGAGCGAGAGATAGTGAGAGTGTGAGAGTGAGAGTGATCGAGTGAGTGAGTGAGTGAGTGAGTGAGAGTGAGTGAGTGAGTGAATGTTATCTTGCAAATTAATCTATTTACATGTCAGGTGTTTTACTTCATTTCCATTTGTCATTTACAAAGTTATGTCGATATAACCCAGTCTTAAAATATGAAATAATAATAACAATAATTACTAAAAGTCAGTGATAATTTGTTTGTCAATCAAAAATTTATTTTACCTAATACAATTATTCATTATATCTGCATTTTGCTATAGTTATGCAAACTAGCTTAGAAACCGTAGCAGTAAATGGTCAATTCACGGTTCGGATTTAATCACAAGCTCACAAAAATCAGCAAACATGAATGTATGGACAGTTTTGTTAGCTGAAATAAGCAACATCTCTTAACTGACGTAGGTGCATTCAATTAGAAAAACCTATGATCATTTATAATTTTCAAATTTAAAAAGTGTGTATACACAGTACGTACACATTAGTAATATCTTTGTTAGATACACATAATCACCCAAGTAGATCAATACACAGAAATACCTATATAAAGCCAATAATATAAGTATGCTAGTAATTAATAGTATAAGTAATTAACTCTGGAAGTATGTGTCGCATTAACAAATCCCTGCAGAGTACTATAGCAGTATACGTACTGCTCGCCGACAGAACTTTGCATCGTACGTAATCCTTTCCACGTGCAACACGCATTTTATCCATACAATAAAGTCAATATAAAAGGACGTGAGATAAGGGGACCAATAGGTCTCGAACTGCTCCTTGTGAGCGCTGTCAGTTTCCTCGCCATCATCGCCGACAGGGTGGATCGTGTCAAAGAACATGGCGTTGAAACATGCCTGCTTCAAGGAAAGGAGAACAGCATCACTCGAAAGCTGAGCTTTTTCTGTTCCAGACACTGAAGTTACATTTTTCTTTCTGGCACCTTTTAAAGTGTCCTGTGAATCTGGGATGGTAACTGGCTGTAACTGTAACATAAAATGCACCTATTAAAATAAACTACTACAATATAATCACTCAGGAGTGAATAATAATAGATTTGTAGATAATAGATAATGTATTTTTAAGCAACGATGTAGTAAGCGATTAGACATACTGTCAAAATACATAAATCATAATGTAATGCAAGGCTCGACACTAGCGGTGGCCCGGTGGCCCGGGGCCACCAAAACTTCATGTCGGGCCACCAAATTTTCCAAAAGTTAAAATTGGTGGCCCGATCGGGCCACTAAAATTTCAAAGTGTCTATGTGATAAAAATAATTGTTCTACGTGCTAATCTTATTCAAAAGAGAGCGAGCAATTCGCGGAGCGAGGGCAACAGTACGCCGCGCAGCATTCTACCGCGGCACGGTTTTATCGATCGTCTACTGCGGCTGCAACAAGCCACGTTATTGTGTTAGACGCGCGTGTTTAGATAAATATGAGTGAAAGTAGAAAAATGGTATGCAAGATTCTGGTGAAAATTTGATGCGTGGAATGGATAATTCAATGTAATGCCTCAATCATCAATGTCAGTGTGTGCCATTGTGGGGGGTTTGTTTAAAGACTTGTGCAATTTTCAAATAATATACAATACGAGATGTTTTTTTTTCGGGCCACCAGATTTCATTTTCGGGCCACCAAAAATTGAAAATCAATGATTTTGGTGGCCCGATCGGGCCACTGGAAAAAAATGTTAGTGTCGAGCCTTGTACAGTAATGGGATGGGTATGGATGGTAAATGTAATGGGAATATGTTTTAGTAACATTTACGAAGTAGGTCGGCCAATTGAGAAACAAATGATATTTATTTTTAGTATACTTACTTCTTTGCGAAATAATTTATTCCATTCACATGCCCAACTAGTTGATGACGTCGACTTTGAATAGCAGGGCTGCTACGTGGCTGCATGTTTTGCCAAGTCTGTAATGAGAACACGTACATGTAGGCACGATTTTGTTGCATAACACATGTCAACATGATAGATAAATCGTTGCATTTGTTTAAATTGAAAACATAATTAGTCATGTATGTAGGTATGCATAAATGTGGTTGGAGTGTCAATAATGGATTAAATCTTTTACGTTGTTTTTTTATACATATATGTGCAATTGAAACTATTACTACTTGGTAGCAAGAGACTTGTAATTTTTTTTTCGAAGTTTAAGTAGTTAGTGACGTCTAGGTGACTAAATCTGCCTGCATGATGATTAATTGAATTTTCTCAGTGTGGTCACTATGATTTGTAGGCAACGCATATAAGATACTTATTAGAAATGATCTAAACTATTACAGAAGTATGCATACACTGCCATGCACATGCAGCGGGCACAATACACAACCCCAGTTGACTATACACACATGTCATGTACACCAGTGTTGGTGAGGTTTGTCTCGCAATCGTTGAGATGGCGTAATTTCACCTTTTCTGTGATGACGTCAGGAGTCTATCAATAGACCATAGATAGACTCATGTAGACTATTGATAGACTCCTGATGACGTGGTACATATGTCCACTGATCTACACTGAACACAAATAGAAATTATGAGTACATTTACTTTTTTATGTATGTTGGACCAGTTACATGCAGACATTTACAATATTTTAGTCAATAATGAAAATGTTACTAAATTATATACCGTAGAACCATAGAATGAGAGATGTACCATAGCACAAAAATTGTATTACCTGCTGACACTGCTGACATGCAGTGCTGTAGGCCTATCGACTGTGCATTACTCATAACACTGAGCCATAACACTGACACTCTCACTGAGCCACTTTGCATGGTTACAAGTAAAGATTTTGGCAAAATTACGTTTGTAAACAATATATACTTACTGATAAGCTTGAAACGATTTGAAGTTTTTCATCGTGGCACTGGTATATATTCCTGTTTATGGCTCATTACGTTTATGTTATGGCTCTGCCACCGCATAAACACGGCTTAGAAGCAATGCTTTCTGCCAACCAGAATCTGCGCATGCGCCAAAATGACGTAGTTTGTTTACCAACTTGAACGCCGCTATAGTTGTTAGTATTTTTATGCAAACTTACATCAACTTCCCTGACTAGTCTCGAGCCTCTGGCACTATGAGCGTTGTGGTCAATGGCTGCTATTTTGACTCGCAGGTCGTAATCTTGGTTGCTGCAAGATAGAGGATAAAAGTAATATAGTTAGCAACAAAAATATGTTGTTATCGGCGGGTAAGCACAGTTGAATCGAACTGTTCATCAAGTGTACATGATGTATAGATGTGTACCGATACACTAGGGTCACGATACGATACGTATCTATACACGGATAGAAAGAGAGATGCTGACATTACATTCTAATGATAAATTTTGCGTATGAACTAATAATTTTTTAAGTATTATTGTTTATTTTTTAATTTTAAAATTAATAATTAAAAACAACTTCAGCTGAAATGAAAACTAGTCCAAACTGTCCCCAACTGTCACAGATTGGGACGAAAGATATCCCCACCCCCTATGTCCACAAAGTTTAATGCTTGAGATATGCGCGTGTGCTGTAACGCGCACGTGTCACGCAGCCTGTCACTACTCCTACCTCAGCGCGCGTGAACAATTTCGATCACTTGAAAACCAAGCGTTGGAAAAAACATCGAATGCAACAGCAATTACCTGAAGTTTCTGAAGTTGCTTCACTGGTTTTACCTGAAGCAATAACTTCCATTCCTTCAGCTGGTAGTGGCATGAAGTGAGAGCTCTCAATGTCACTTTTCTTACCACTTCTGCTCAACGACCTATCAATTGAAAAAAATATGTGGTTAATTTGAATGTTTTGTAATCCATTTGTATGTCATAAGTCGTAACCATCGATCCATATGCATGGGAAATGTGCATCCGACTATTGAGATACAAGTCAATGTATAGAATGGCCCAGAAATCAAGACATTTGTAACCTGAGGTTTCAAAGTCCATCAATGCTTTAAGTTTAAATGTCAATCGAAATTGTCACAGCAAATCCAAATAATTTTTATAGGTGATGTAGGCTTAACAAATTGCACTCTAGTCTTTTGTAATTGGTTTATTTACCCCAGCAATGGGATTTATTTACTCCTAGTCCTGCATGGTTAAGAATCGCTACAGTAGGCTAGCCCTAGCCTACCTAGACTCTACAACTATTTCATGGCATAAGACAACGTAATGTAAAGTACGTAATGTACTAATAATTACTTAGTTTATAGGCTAGAGAGCTATATAACTATAAGTGAGAATATATAATAGGTACCTACACTCTACAGCATGCAACGTACAACGTTTTCAGTACAGTACGTACCGTACTCAGTATAAGACTTGCGACCTGTCAATATCGTTTTCTACTTCAAATTATGCTGCATACACAAAATACTATCGATTTAGAAAATTATACTGTCTTATATGTGTAGCGGTGGCACGGACCCTAAGACCGGTTCCTAACAGGGTGGCTCCCTGGGAACGGAGTGTGGGTGATCTGTGTTTGTAATTGTATAATTATTTGTGATGCCTGTTTGTTTATTAGTGTGCGTTTTCGTGTTGTTTTGCCAGCTCATCAATTATTACGCTGAATATATGTAACGTTTAGTTTCTTACTCATAGCTCTCGACTACTCGAGGTGTTATCCGTAATCGTACGTTCGTATGCTACGTATATTATTGAGAGATATCGCCTCGCTCGTTAACTACAAATGACCGAACATGAGTGTACGTGCACAAGGTCAGAACATCATTTAATGTACATAGTACTACACGACTGGTTACAGAAAAGTACGCGGAATGCAAAGCATAACTTACATAGTGTGGTGTAGCGTCACTGCTGTGAACTAACAAACGGTATAGATACGTGTCGTCTGAGATGCAAACTGCGAGAGAGGGGTCTTTCTTATTTCACAACATAGCCTTTTATAGTGACGCTACACCTATTGTCTTAGCTCCCATCTTGCCTATTCGTTGCTGCCGTGACGGTCAATCATGCTCGCGCGCCCGCGCCGCTATTGGCTGGTTACTCGTTCCTAATCTCTGTTCACCGCGTGTCCGCTAAACACGCGTTCCAGTGGCCGTTGGTGTGGGTCGAGCCCACGCCCCTTTTATGGCCTAACCAATTACGCGCTGTGAGCCGAGTTGCCTACGGCGCGGGTCAAGTCGGCTCCGCGCGGGTCCAGTCGACTATCTTAGTTTATTAACGTTTCTCATTCACTTTATTCTTCTTATTACTCGTTTACTATTAACTCTGTGTTACATTACTCCCCCCCATATGACAAGTTGGGAGCCGTAGTAATAC